ATTGTGCCATACTACATGTCATCCTCAGCTTGCTGTGCTTCACCAGCCTGGACATTCAGATGAGCAGCACCACTAACAAAACATATCCTCCTCCACCACCACCATTACCCACTCCTGTTCTGTTATTACAGTTATCATTGTTATCAAATGTTTTGTGTCGTTTTTAATGCTTTCAGATATGTTATTTTCTGTTTCTTAATAAATTAGGAACAAAACATCAGGTCGATTTGGATAAACACTAGCGATAAGTATTTTCTTTAAGGAGTTGTGAGACACCTTCTCAGTGTAGCGTGTGTCGGAGTAACAGGGGTCTGGGGCTGAGGCTGGGAGGTCTCACCAGGAGTGGGAGTATAGGAACAGAGGGCTACGAAGTAGCAGAGAGCTACACCACAACATCAACCAGTAGAACATTTCTCTCATAGGTCCACCTCTTCTGACAGTTACCAATTCATTCAAGTCATAGTAGTTTAGTCAAACACTACAGTGGGAGATTGATTGAGTGTGGCTCACCAGAGATTCAGCCAAACTCAACAACCACATGTTTTAACTAACCATAAGGAAGATAGATTAAGGTGTTCTACAATTTGAAAGAGGGAGAGAGAGAGGTTCTTCCATTCCTTCTGTTTTAAGTCACGTTCTCGTGACATGTCCCATGTCCACCTGGTGAGCCAGACAGACAGCCAGCCAGACAGAGCCCCAGCCCCAGACTGCTACTGGACCCATTAAACAAAGCTTAGTCCTCAGCCAAGGCCACAGAGTCCCAGAGAACACTCACTCTACCTGAAGGACACCTGACTTAATCTAGACACTGCTGCTGAACACACTGCTCAGAGGGTTGTCATACTACCTCCCAGAGGGCTTTATAAGCTATATATAGGGTCTGAATGTTTCCAACATTTCAAACATGGAGGGAGAGTTTCAGATTCGCTGTAGTTACATGAGTTTAGTCTCCTCTGTGTGAACTATTCTACAACTTTCAAAGCACCTTCAGGCTTTGCTGTATACATTCAACATGATAGGACAGCTTAAATGTGCAATGACTTATCAAAGTCTTTTTCTGCTTTGGTTTGGTTAATTAATGTTGGTATACTTCTCAGAAGAACCTTTACATGATCAAGTCTGCTGGTTAGGGGAATGGATGGACTGTCTGTGTTGGACCGTTGAGTGTGTAACACCCTGTGCTCATGGAAACTCAAGGGCCTTGCTGAGGTCTCATGCCCTCCTACCCTTAGCAGGACAAGGACATTACTTTAGTGCAAACTCTTGCTGTCTCAGCTATAGCACTATTTCCAGTGCTATCAGGCTTTATATCCCCAACCCCACCCAAAACACCCCTCTACCCGACCTCATAAAATACCCCACCCTCCCTAAACCACATCCCATACCCTGACCCCCACCCACACAGCCATAAAGTTGGTTAGAAAAAAAAAGTTATGCTATAGCGGCACCTTTTAAGACATTGTTTACATAAAGACATAAAGGAGAAGCTATTCCATCTACACCATTGTAAAGTCCACGGAAATAAAGAGATAGAATGTGAACTCATGTAAATGTTGTATGATTCCACACAATTTGCTGCATACATAGATGGGGTGGGCTTTGTTGGTGTGTGGCTTGGTCAGAGGCTGTCCCATTCTAGATATAATGTTTGGGATTACTTTCATACCTTCATATTATATACCAGACATGAAGAGCAACTACGGGAAACCTCTATAAGAGTGTCCTATGCGCAATCTGGGTCAATTTTGGCTTAGCCAAAGATTAAAGAAATTAAATAGGAATACAACTTGAAATCACAATACTTAGGCCCAAGAATGTCACCAGTTTTAATGGTTACATTTGCTTGGGAGGGGTAACTTAGAACCCTACCACCTCACCGAACTATGGCTTTCATCAGACCTATGCACATACATGACCCTACACCAAGCTCCTGGCAATCAGGCTATACATATCAACCCCCCTTATCTACTACCTCCAAGTATTTGACTTGATCATTGTAGATGTCCATACTGACAGACTATTGAGTACATTCATCTAAAAGAAGGAGTCAAACTGTTCAATAACAAATTCGAGGGAAATAAAGATTGCAACAGAATACAAAGCGGTGAAAAGCTATGGAAAATATGGTTGAGGGTGTGTGGATGTTTCAAGTATACTCACACACCCTTAGTTAGCCACTACTGTAAGTCGCTCTGGATAAGAGCGTCTGCTAAATGACTAAAATGTAAATGTAAATGTACTTGGAAAATAGTCCATCTGTGTATGATGGAACTGCCATGCAGTTGGAGTTGGTGTCTGACTGTGTTTTCTTCCCTGTGATAATATGTGGAGCTATGAGAGGGGAGCTGGTGAACAGATGGGTGGAGATAGTTTGTTTATCCAGGCTTGCCCTGAGACCCTCCAGCCATGCACACACACTCCGCCCCCACCCGCTCTGCCCCAAACCCTCCGTCCGTCCCCCTGCTCTGCATTAAGACATGAATATAGACAACTCACTAGACATTTTTTTTAACCAAACCTAACTTCAAGTGCAATCAGTTACATGGGGTTATTTTGTCTTTTTTAAAGTTTTTAAGGTCACAAAACCCGACTTGTTCGTTTCTGAACCTGCCTGACTTCTCTTAAGAGATCCAAAACGCGCATACATTTTTTTTTTTTTGGCAGCTTGTTGTCAAAAACTTAACAAAACTAGAAAACAAGCTTAACGGCAGCACTTGCGATGGGGATATTAAGCTCATTCGCCTTAGTTTGTTTCAAAGTACCCGTTTCTTTGACAAAAGTGACCTTCTCAGTAACAAAGTGCATTCAGAACCTGCTTCTTTCCCATTAAGGTGCAAAGGACTGATACTCAAGACACAGCATTGCAGCAATGGCAGGGGAATTCGATCTAAGTCACTGGCACGGCACCCTCTCCTCTGTGTGGTTAAAAGAGTGTACTGACCAAGACAAACATGTCCAGACGTATGTGAGCCAGTGGCCCATATCCAATCACATGTCATAATTCTGTGGAGCAACACCTAGTGGCTGCCCTCGTGTTTTTCGCCCACTTTAGTGGCTGCCTGGCTTTTAGTGCGCCGGCAGTTTGGGGAGCGTGTTTGAACGTGCCTACAACTGGAGGAGCTGCTGACACTCCCAGCCCAAGTCTGTGAGTGAGTCACACTGCGCTGATGTGGCCAGAGTAAAGACCCTGGCTGCCACACATACAAACACCCAGCAGCAGTCCAGTCAGCCACCGAGCAGGTCTCCTCTACCCAGGGCTCTATAATACCCTGCACTCCACAGACTGGTTCAGGGACATTGGAGGACTAAAGTGGGAGAGAGAAAAGTCCTGATTTGAACCCGTTCTGCCTGGAAACATGGCTGTGCCGAGTAGATTATATTTTGGAATGCAACAGACATTGTAAAATCCCCCTCCCCTTGCCCTGCCTCGCCACCCATCCCCCACCACCCAGCTGCATGCTTATTTGGCCTCCCAACTTGGACAGGTATTTATTGCTCTCTTCATCACACAGGTTGCCTCATGGTTTCGTGGTCCCCAGGGCAAAAAATATTGGAATACGCACTATTACACACCTCCTTTTCTCGACGACCTCCTTTAAATATACCTCTCTCTGTTGGATATCTTTAGTAAAGCTGTGCAAACGTATAAAAGGTGCTCGTCTCTCCTCATCTCTGTCTATCCCTGCTTTTCGTCTTTCAACCTGCTGTTGGTTAGACACTGCCCTCTCTCCTTCTCACGCCAGGGCAGATCCTGTCAGAACTGCACAAAGTTAAGCACATAGCTAGTATCTCTTCTTCCTTTGGGCAGGAACTCTATACATCTCAATCAAGTGTTAAGTTTAGGACCAATGGGTTTCTCAATTCAATATACTCTAACATTCATACAGTTCATTTTCTCTTTCACCCACAAGCTTCACTCTGTGAGAAATCTGACGTCAAGCCAAAGGAAACCCCGATTGGTAGGCTAATATACCTCAGCATTAAAAAGGGACCAATATAATCACTGCCTAATGTATCTACATGTACACAAATGTAAGGTGTCAAGTACCCAAAGCAGTCAACTCAAAAAAGGAACAAACAACAATGAAAAAAAAATGAAGACAAATCCAAATGAAAATAGAAGGCTGAAATGGCAGGGTTGTGAGGGGTAGTCAACGACCTGGTCAACTGGCAACATGACGATGTTCGTGCTTTAGAAACACACCCCCTCCTCCCCTCGCGTTCCTTACCCCTGCAATGGAAGAGCCCCCCAAACGTGGATTCAACTCGACATTTAACATTTTAAAAAGATGAACCATAGATTTTAAAATATATTTTATAGAGTAAGTAACACTTAAATCAAACCCTTGTCTGATTCTTTCTGGAGCATTTGACAAAAATGATTATTTCTGCATCAGAGGTGTGGTTCAGTTAATCTTGCATATATTGTCATATTCTGACAATACTACTATTTCTATGGTAACTGTACATTTTAGAACTGCAAAAGAATAGAAAAAGATTGGTTGCTTTCCATCTGAATATGAGAGTTCCCACTCCGTTCACCCATGTGGCAGCCAGTAGATGTGGGACACCTCAAAGTTTGAAGGCTATGAAGTCCAAACCAATATAATCTATTTTAACTGCATAGTTGCTCAGGGTTTTCTGTTGTTTTGTTATATGCTAAAGCACTTTTGCCAAATGTACAAAAACCCAGATGAGACAGAAATGATCCAGAAAGGAGACATCATGGAGGTGTGATTTGAAGCATTCTTTGCTCTTTAACAGACCACTGACTTGTGTTTGTGTGTCTACTCTGTTTCCTAAAGCAAAGGGATAAAATAAACGTAAAATATTAGATTGGTGACACCCTGATTTGGTATATAGAGGAATTTTTAGTTGTTGTGTTTATTTTGTTTGCCGTTGTTCATAGCAGGTTTTTTTTTCCCTCTGGTTTCGGCGTGGCCCCTCAGGGGCCCAGTATGACTATGGCGTCCAGCGTCCCTCCCTGTCTCCCTGTCTCAGTCCCCCAGGTCCCCTGCCCTCTCCTGGGGCTGAGGACTGTGTGCATGGGCCCTGGAGGCCTCCTCCACCACCGCTGCTGAAGCCGCCTCCATGCGCCGTCTCCCCCTGCCACTCCGAGGGCCGGGGCCCGCCAGCCCCATGGGGACCTCCAGGAGCCCAGGGTCCCGCACCCGAGGCTTGCGGCCCCGGCGGGAGGGGATGCCATTGCATCCGTCCTTCTTGAGGTGGCGGTGCAGGTGGTCTGAACGCACAAAAGTCTTAAAGCAGCTGGAGCACTGGTAGGGGCGCAGGCCTGTGTGCACGCGCATGTGGTTCTTCAGGTCATAGTTGTGGGCGAACGCAGCACCGCACTGCGTGCACAAGTAAGGCTTCTCTCCCGTATGCTTGCGCATGTGAACCTTGAGCTTGTCCTGCCTGCGGAGGAAGAACACAGAGGCTCAGTACAGAAAAACAACAACAGAGAATTGATTAGCAAAGTAGGAACTCTGATAGCAACAAGGGTAGTTAAAATACTAAGCAAACTACAACCATTAACCAAACAGTAGGCTAAGAATCAGAATCTTGAAAAACAACAATTTAAAACATGTCTGTGTTGACATTGAAACAAAATAGAAAATGTTCCACTACTTTGCAACATAGGCTACAGTACATATTGTTATGTTGTAAATAAAATAAAATATTATTTTTATGTTGTGTGATCTTAAAGTAGGGTATTTGTCCAGGGTGAACATGCCTATGGAGACTGTTTGTCTCCCTGTGTCTATCTCCTTCACTCTAACACCTAATGGACCACTTCCAGGTTGACTACTCTGCCACGGCAGCAAGGTCATCTGAGAACAGGCCATAAGTTATAAAAAAGTTTGGAAAATAATAGTAGTGGTCACATGGTCTTAAGTGTGGATATTTTGGAAGAAAGGCCTCGTAAAGTTCCAGCCATGCTGGGATTGAGGATTCTTTGCTTGTAGAACATTTTTTTTACTTTTCCCTTACATTTATCTACACCATTACATCTTTATGTACACCATTTCTTAAAGTACACGTAGAGACCTGGCCCGGAGCTCAATGTTCACAGACAGTGTGGCTAGGTTCAGGGGAAATCTATTTCTGGTGCAGCTACCTTCACAGAATATTACATACAACAATGGAAAGTGGAAATCAAATAAATTAAACTAAAATGCTTGTGAATGAAACTGTAGATAAAAAAATAAATATTGAACCTTTATTTAAGATTAAGGGTTGCGAAGCGTTAGTTTCTCTTGTCACTTTTTTGGACAAAGCCAGACTCTTCAGAGACTAATCAATGGGTGAATAGCTCCTCTTAAAACATCAGCAGCAAGTTTTCAGTCAAATAAAACTAGAAGACAAAACATACACCACGATTATGGTCTGTAGAGGTGCTATCTTGTAAAGGTAGGACAGCTAGCTGTACATCTTACTAGTGCCATGTTCAGGCCCCTCTACTTTAATCAGTCCTTCAGCTTCCCTCACCTACCCACCCAGTCATAATGTTTGTCTGTCTGTCTGCCATCCAGCCCTTCAGCACCCAGAATGCACCTAAACAAACCTCTGGAGTAAGGACAACTACTTAGCACGCACACAAGTCACATAGGGGCACTACTGCTACCATAGTTACAAGGTACATATGGTATAGTAAAGCCACTGTAAATAAAGACATACACTGTAGCCAGGCAGACCCACTCACTGACCTTAACTTACACACCAATGACCCCCCCGCACCTCTACACACATACAGTGACACAGGGTGAAATAATTAAAGGACAGGAGTGGTTTATTACAGTGCGAAAGCGGCACACTCGTAACCCTGATCAAATAGGATTAAGATTACAATACCCCCTTCCCACTTCACTGCCGACTGGCTGCATTTAGAAGCAAGCCCATTTAGATCAGGCCTGCCCGCCCACCATCGCAAAGGGTATATAGATATAAAGGATATTTCATGTGGAAACCCTCATATTAAAACGCTAATGGTATTCACTAAGTTGATGGTTTATATTCAGGATAATGTTTTACAGTTTTGTCATTCCATTTTTTATTTTAAAATCATCATATTAGATTTTTTAATATATTTTACATGTGATAAGGCCACACAAGAGGGCCAGAGATAATTACAGACACCTGTGATAATCTGAAGTATCCAAAAGGCCACTAGATGTCATCTGATAAAATTAAATATATTATTTGAAAGTTACCAAAATTCTGGTAGCTTACTGGTAAACTTCAAAAGTTTCCAGTTATATACCATCCCTTTGCAACCCAATCCTGGGTATTTCCAGTGTGCATCTATTTCCAATGCAAGTCCATTGATTAATTCATTAAGGGGATGGATTCAAGGAAGAGGTGTGCTCTTAAATACAGGGAGACCAGTGACACAACACTCTAGTCCAGGAGTCCACCCTGGCCTGTAGCTAGCTGGGCAGCCTGACTGTGAGCAGACAGATTTCATTAGCTGGCTAAGATCTGGAAGAGGGAGGGGGCTGGTCGGTTGGGAGAGGGAGGGGAGAGAGAGGTCCAGTCGGTTCTGCCGTGGGCAATAATCAACAAAACCAGGGATCACAAATTCAAATGACGGCATTGACACAGATAAGGCACCACTCTGCTGGTAATCCCCCTGTCAGTATCAGAACAGAACACTTTACAGCAGCTTCCTCCTAGATAACGTGTCACAACCCTCTTTTATACCACCCCGTTAACATTCCAGGACTTTGCCATGAGCCATGTCTCTATAAAACACGTCTTTATGACACCCTGATCCAATCCACTAGATGAAATATCAAACATGTTCATCTCTGATTAACGTTTTTCAGAAAGGTCTTGGCAAAATGATCCACATTACCACATAGGTAGGGGACATCTAGGAGATCATTAGTTTACTATGCTTTCAACAACGTTTCTCACTTTTATTTCAGGATAGTACATTAATTAGTACATTAGTACACTAATTAATTGACAGAGAGAAAACATTTGGCTAATGCTAAGTAGGAGTGTCCTTGGCTGTGGGACAACAGTGCTCTTGTTTTTGCTCCATCACGCATCCTCACCATGAGTAGATGTGACATGGGTGGTCAGTGCATTAATTGGGGCTTACCTGGTGAAGCGCACCTTGCAGATGCCGCACTCGTAGGGCTTCTCTCCCGTGTGCGTGCGGATGTGGCGGGGTAGCTTGCCTGCGCCTTGGATGACCTTGGAGCAGATGGGGCACTTCTGGAAGGCCTTGGAGCGCATCTTCCTCTCCCCTCCTCCTCCTCCTCCTCTCTCTTCGCCTCCTTTTCCTCCCCTCTCTCCTCCCCTCTCTCCTCCCCCTCTCTCTCGGCTGGACCCGCCCCGTGCCGCCCAGAGGGGCAGCAGTCCCTGTGAGACGGCGGTGGCGTCATCATGCTGCGTGCTGTTAAAGTAATTCAAGTAAAACTCCACGTCCGGGTCCTCCCCCTCCCCCAGCTCCACCCCGGCCGCGGCCCGCTCCTTCTGCCTCTCGATGGAGTCCATCATCTGCTGCAGGAGGGCGCTGGCCGAGCCCCTCTCCTCGTCCCGCACCCCCTCTTCCTCCCCCTCTTCCTCAGGCTCCAGTTTGGGTTCCATTGGGAGGTAAAAGTGGCCGTTCTGGGCTGGGGTGTATAAAGAGGCCCCTGGCCCCCCTCCGTTCCCCCTGGCCCAGGCCAGCATGTCCCTGCCACTTTCGGAGTGCTCCACCTCCCCTTCGTCCTCTTCATCCTCCTCCTCCTCATTCTCAGGGTCCTGTGTGGGGGCCTGGGCCAGGTGCAGGGGAGAGTAGTACTCGCTGGGGCCTCCGGGGGCCCCGTTGCTGTGGGCCCCATTGCCGTGGTTAAAGTGCAGGTGTGTGGGCATGTCCCTGAGCTCTGGAGTGCTGCAGCTGCTGCTCCAGAGGGCCCCTCTCTGGAAGTACTGTAGATACTCCTGGGCCCGCAGCCGATTCCCCTGATCCCCCCTTCCTCCTCCACCCTTCCCCTCCTCTTCCTCATCATCATCCTCTTCTTCTCCTCGCTCACTACCCGCCTATGAAAAAACAAACAGGATTCCATAACTCTCATACAACGTTTAGAATGTGAGTGGACACATACATATCATATTCACACAACAGAAACATACAGTACCAGTCAAAAGTACCCATTCTACCCAGTCACACCTACCCATTCATGGGTTACTCTTTATTTTTACTATTTTCTACATTGTAGAATAATAGTGAAGACATCAACATTATGAAATAACAGACATGGAATAATGTAGTAACCAAACAAGCGTTAAACAAATCAAAATATATTTCATATTTGAGATTCTTCAAATAGCCACCCTTGATGACGGCTTTGCACACTCTTGGCATTCTCTCAACCAGCTTCACCTTCATATTCTGAGCACTTGTTGGCAGCGTTTCCTTCACTCTGCGGTCCGACTCATCCCAAACCATCTTATTGGGTTGAGGTCGGGGGATTGTGAGACCAGGTCATCTGATGCAGCACTCAATCACTCTCCTTCTTGGTCAAATAGCCCTTACACAGCCTAGAGGTGTGTTGGGTCATTGTCCTGTTGAAAAACAAATGATAGTCCCACTAAGCCCAAACCAGATGGGATGGCGTATCGCTGCAGAATGCTATGGTAGCAATGCTGGTTAAGTGTGCCTTGAATTCTAAACAAATCACAGACAGTGTCACCAGCAAAGCACCCCCACACCATAACAACTCCTCCTCCATGCTTTACGGTGGGAAATACACATGCGGAGATAATCCGTTCACCCACACTGCGTCTCACAAAGACACGGTGGTTGGAACTAAAAACCTCCAATTTGGACTCCAGACCAAAGGACACATTTCCACCGGTCTAATGTCCATTGCTTGTGTTTCTTGGACCAAGCAAGTCTCTTCTTCTTATTGGTGTCCTTTAGTAGTGGTTTCTTTGCAGCAATTCGACCATGAAGGACTGATTCACACAGTCCCTTCTGAACAGTTGATGTTGAGATGTGTCTGTTACTTGAACTCTGTGAAGCATTTATTTGGGCTGCAATATCTGAGGCTGGTAACTCTAATGAACTTATCCTCTGCAGCAGAGGTAACTCTGGGTCTTCCATTCCTGTGGCGGTCCTCATGAGAGCCAGTTTCTTCATAGCGCTTGATGGTTTTTGTGAATCCACTTGAAGAAACTTTGAAAGTTCTTGAAATGTTCCATATTGACTGACATTCGTGTCCTAAAGTATTGATGGACTGTCGTTTCTCTTTGCTTATTTGAGCTGTTCTTGCCATAATATGGACTTGGTATTTTACCAAATAGGGCTATCTTCTGTATACCACCCTTACCTTGTCACAACACAACTGATTGGCTCAAACGCATTAAGAAGGAAAGAAATTCCACAAATTAACTTTTAACAAGGCACACCTGTTAATTGAAATGCATTTCAGGTAGACTACCTCATGAAGCTGATTGAGAGAATGCCAAGAGTGTGCAAAGCTGTCATCAAGGCAAAGGGTGGCTATTTGAAGAATCTCAAATGTAAAAAAATATTTTGATTTGTTTAACACTTGTTTGGATACTACATGAGTCCATATCTGTTATTTCATAATGTTGATGTCTTCACTATTATTCTACAATATAAAAAAAATAGTAAAAATAAAGAAAAACCCTTGAATGTGTAGGTGTGTCCAAACTTTTGACTGGTACTGTACATGATCATGAATATGGACATGCTACTTCTATTCTACACGCTCCCCGCCATGTGAAGGTTGGAGCTTAACTGCGATATGTTTTGTCTGTAGAATGCAGCTTGTGAAAGAGCACCATGTCCTGAGACTGAGAGACTGGTGTTGGCTCAGCATGGGTAAATGTTTAGAGGTCAGTGTTATTGTGACCCCAGGGTGTGGATGTGTGTTTGGCAGTGTGTGAGAGAGACACTAATAAAGAGCATGATGTGATGGCCAGACAAAGACTGATGACTGAGTGTTAGTTTGTTAGCGTGACGCGATGAGGTTGTGTGGTACGTGGTCTGTGGTGGCGGAGTTGGATGGAGCTCCATTATGGCACTTACAACAAAATAGTTTTAACAACTCAAAACAAGAGTGGTTCGACTAATTTCTACAGAGGCCATACTGAATACATGTATTTTAACTTTCAGTCACTTTGGATAAGAGCGTTTGCTAAGTGACCATATTTTGATGCAAGGCCTGTGATGTAATGTAATGGTAAAACAGAGACTGTTGACAGAGTGTTAGTAAGTTAGCGTTGTCATGATGACCAGCCTACCGGCGGGGAGAGCACTTTGGTGTCCAGCAGGTGAGTGCAGACTTCCTGGACGGGCGAGATCTCCAGCAGGCGGGCAGCGGCCAGGATGTCTCCCACGGAGCTGTGGCTGACGGTCAGCGTGGCTGTGTAGGCAAAATCCAGCAGGGCGCCCAGGGCCTCGGCCGCCACAAAGTCAATGGAGTAGATGTGCTGCTGGTCGGCAGTGGGGCCAGAGGTGAACAGCTTGTGGAAGTAGGAGCTGCAGGAGGCCAGGACCGAGCGGTGGGCGGGGAACTCTCTCTCCTGGTTTACCAGGAGAACGTCGCACAGCAGGCCGCTGAGGCGCTGCTTGTTTAGGCTGCCCAGGATGTCTGCGCTGTGCTCGGGGAAGGGGATGCCCACCGGGCCCTCCTCCGCCGCCTCCCCTCTCCCTCCTCCCCCACCCCCAGTGCCCCTGAGCCGCCGCCCGCCCCTCCCACCGGCTCCCAACGACATCTTCCACCAGCCTGCCGCTGAGCCGCCAATCACAGCCGCCGCCCGAGTGTCCGTCCTGCCGTCTGTCCGTCTGCCTGTCTGAGGAAGGAAGAAGAGGGGGAGAAAAGGATGAGGAGAGAATCAGTTCTCAGTCTTTAAAACAAAAATACACAGATGCCCAATTCAATTCCTAGCCCATACTCCTAGCGATTTGGTAGTTATTACAGTGGCAATATGGTAATAACACCACGTGCAGGGCCGTAACTACATATGGGGACACAGAGGTCCGGACCACTATATTTCTTTCTAATTTGAAAAAAAGTATAATAATATAAATATATATTTTGTACACAATAAAGGAAATCAATTACGGATCAACATCTAAATATTGCTCCCAGTGTTCATCAATGCTCAGGACGCTTATATTCTTGATCGGACTGAGTTCTAATCGCGCCTGCCTGTTTGCGAACGATTGGAATCACGAACAGTGGTTTGTTCGTTATGTTCGCCTGCACTCCCCAGATTTACCTCCCGGATTTGCCTTTTTAGCAGCACATGGAGTTTATAGTTTACCCACTACCCACCTTTTTTTTACCACTACATCACTGATATTAATACAGAATCATAAGTAATATTCTAATAATTAATTTGTATGTGATAATACGATCATCTGCGTGCTCTATTGATGTCTGTCTGTGCGGAGCTTGATTAGTAATGGCTAGGAATACAAATGTGAACGCTATGTAATTTGAGAAAAGAGATACAGCGCATTGGGAAAGTATTCAGACCCCTTAACTTTTTCCACATTGTTACGTTACAGCCTTATTCTAAAATTTATTAAATTGTTTACACACAATACCCCATAATGACAAAGCAAAAACCGGTTTTTAGAAATGTTTGCAAATGTATATAAAAAACTACTTAAATATTATGTTTACATAAGTATTCAGACCCTTTACTCAGTACTTTGTTGAAGCATTTTTGGCAGCGATTACAGCCTTGAGTCTTCTTGGGTATGACGCTACAAGCTTGGCACACCTGTATTTGAGTAGTTTCTCCCATTCTTCTCTGCAGATCCTCTCAAGCTCTGTCAGGTTGGATGGGGAGCGCTGCTGCACAGCTATTTTCAGGTCTCTCCAGAGATGTTCGATCGGGCTCTGGCTGGGCCACTCAATGACATTCAGAGAATTGTCCCGAAGCCACTCCTGCGTTGTCTTGGCTGTGTGCTTAGGGTCGTTGTCCTGTTGGAAGGTGAACCTTCGCCCCAGTCTGAGGTCCTGGAGCAAGTTTTCATCAAGGATCTTTCTGTACTTTGCTCCATTCATCTTTCCCTCGATCCTGACTAGTCTCCCAGTCCCTGCCACTGAAAAACATCACCACAGCATGATGCTGCCATCACCATGCTTCACTATAGGGATGGTGCAAGGTTTCCTCCAGAAGTGACGCTTGGCATTCAGGCCAAAGAGTTCAATCTTGGTTTCATCAGACCAAAGAATCTTGTTTCTCATGATCTGAGAGTCTTTAGGTGCCTTTTGGCAAACTCCAAGCAGGCTGTCATGTGCCTGTTACTGAGGAATGGCTACCGTCTGGCCACTCTACCATAAAGGCCTGATTGGTGAAGTGCTGCAGAGATGGTTGTCCTTCTGGAAGTTTCTTCCATCTCTACAGAGGAACTCTGGAGCTCCATCGGGTTCTTGGTCACCTCCCTTCTCCCCCGATTGCTCAGTTTGGCCGGGCGGCCAGTTCTAGCAAGAGTCTTGGTGGTTCCAAACTTCTTCCATTTAAGAATTATGGAGGCCACTGTGATCTTGGGGAGCTTCAATGCTGCAGACATTTTTTGGTACCCTTCTCCAGATCTGTGCCTCGACACAATCCTGTCTCGGAGCTCTACGGACAATTCCTTCAACCTCATGGCTTGGTTCTTGCTCTGACGTGCGTTGTCAACTGTGGGACCTTATACAGACAGGTGTGTGCCTTTCCAAATCATGTCCAATCAATTTAATTTACCACAGGTGGACTCCAATCAAGTTGTAGAAACATCTCAAGGATGGTCAATGGAAACAGGATGCACCTGAGCTCAATTTCGAGTCTCATAGCAAATGGTCTGAATACTTATGTAAATAAGGTATTTCTGTAAATTTGCAAAAAGGTCTAAAAACTTGTTTTTGCTTTGTCATTATGGTGTATTGTGCTAAGATTGATGAGGAAAAGTGTTTATTAAATCCATTTTAGAATAAGGCTGTAACGTAACAAAATGTGGAAAAAGTCAAGGGGTCTGAATACTTTCCGAATGCACTGTATCTATGTAAAGAGTCGCTGCTGCTACTTGTCAGTGTGAATAATTTCTCATATTTCCCCCCTTTCAGGGGTATAACATTACAATTGTATAGCTAATAGCTGGTGGGAGGAGCTACAGGAGGACGGGCTCATTGTAATGGCTGGAATGGAATCAATGGAACTGAGTCTAACATGTGGTTTCCATATGTTTGATGTGTTTGATACCGTTCCATTTATACCATTCCAGTCTTTACAATGAGTCCATCCTCCTATACAGTGCCTTGCAAAAGTATTCATCCCCCTCCTATTTTGTTGCATTACAACCTGTAATTTAAAAGGATTTTTATTTGGATTTCATGTAATGGACATACACAAAATAGTCCAAATTGGTGAAGTGAAATAACTTGTTTAAAAAAATCCTAAAAAATAAATAACAGAAAAGTGGTGCGTGCATATGTATTCACCCCCTTTGCTATGAAGCCCCTAGATAAGATCTGGTGCAACCAATTACCTTCAGAAGTCACATAATTAGTTAAATAAAGTCCACCCTGTGTGCAATCTAAGTGTCACATGATCTGTCACATGATCTCATTATATATACACCTGTTCTGAAAGGCCCCAGAGTCTGCAACATCACTAAGCCAGGGGCACCACCAAGCAAGCAGCACCATGAAGACCAAGGAGCTCTCCAAACAGGTCAGGGACAAAGTTGTGGAGAAGTACAGATCAGGGTTGGGTTATAAAATAATATCCGAAACTTTGAACATCCCACGGAGCACCATTAAATCCATTATTAAAAAATGGAAAGAATATGGCACCACAACAAACCTGCCAAGAGAGGGCCGCCCACCAAAACTCACAGACCAGGCAAGGAGGGCATTAATCAGAGGCAACAAAGAGACCAAAGATAACCCTGAAGGAGATGCAAAGCTCCACAGCGGAGATTGGAGTATCTGTCCATAGGACCACTTTAAGCTATACACTCCACAGAGCTGGGCTTTACGGAAGAGTGGCCAGAAAAAAGCCATTGCTTAAAGAAAAAAATAAGCAAACACGTTAAGTGTTCGCCAAAAGGAATGTGGGAAACTCCCCAAACATATGGAAGAAAGTACTCCGGTCAGATGAGACTAAAATTGAGCTTTTTGGCCATCAAGGAAAACACTATGTCTGGTGCAAACCCAACACCTCTCATCACCCCGAGAACACCATTCCCACAGTGAAGCATGGTGGTGGCAACATCATGCTGTGGGGATGTTTTTCATCGGCAGGGACTGGGAAACTGGTCAGAATTGAAGGAATGATGGATGGCGCTAGATAAAGGGAAATTCTTGGAGGGAAACCTGTTTCAGTTTTCCAGAGATTTGAGACTGGGGCGGAGGTTCACCTTCCAGCAGGACAATGACCCTAAGCATACTGCTAAAGCAACACTCGAGTGGTTTAAGGGGAAACATTTTAATGTCTTGGAATGGCCTAATCAAAGCCCAGACAACAATCCAATTGAGAATATGTGGTATGACTTAAAGATTACTGTACACCAGCGGAACCCATCCAACTTGAAGGAGCTGGAGCAGTTTTGCCTTGAAGAATAGGCCAAAATCCCAGTGGCTGGATGTGGCAAGGTTATAGAGACATACCCCAAGAGACTTGCAGCTGTAATTGCTGCAAAAGGTGGCTCTACAAAGTAGTGACTTTGGGGGGGTGAATAGTTATGCACGCTCAAGTTCAGTTTTTTTGTCTTATTTCTTGTTTGTTTATCAATAAAAAATATTTTGCATCTTCAAAGTAGTAGGCCTGTTGTGTAAATCAAATGATACAAACCCCAAATAAATCCATTTTAATTCCAGGTTGTAAGGCAACAAAATAGGAAGGGGGGTGTATACTTTCGCAAGCCACAGTAGCTCCTCCCAACATGCCTCCTCTGCTATTAGGATATGTGTTTCTAAATTGACTGAGGCGAATGAACCTACACTAGCCAAGGCGATAATGGCTGGAGTCATTTTTGCTTGTTTTTGCTCTTCTCCAAATAGCATATAAACGTATTTTTTTTAGTGTATAGAATGCATTAAATGATCTTCAACTTCCAGACCTCACTAAAACTCAAACCCTGGTTACGGCCCTGACCACGTGGTAGGCTAGGTGGAATTTTCTCTGTAATTCTTCCATCCACCCAGATCTACAAGAAGTGCCTCAGGGTAAGGGTTGGTGGTTATTTAGAAATGGTGTAAGAAAGTAATTTAAAGTGCTCCGGCAGGCTTCAACCTTCACACCTGAGAAAATACAAATAATATTGGCAAGTGTTAAAATGTTGCTCACTAATGCCACAATAATGTGGCGTGACACACTACCCACTGGGCACACACTGGCTGAATCAGCGTTTCTTCCACATCATTTCAATTCAATTACATTGAACTAACTAGGTCCGGACGATACCAGTATTGCGATACTCGTTTGTGTCGTGGCAAGGAAACAAAACACGAAGCAAAAGTAACTTTCTTAGGAAAACAGCCCTAATGTTGGAAACAAATATCATTATGTTGTCATCCAGAGTCACATTAATTATTTTCCAAGCTATAGCCCACAATATCTTACATACAACAGGTTTTTAAAGGACCAAAGAGTTTGAACTGCTTCGTGTTTTAATTTTTGTCATGGAAAAAATATTGCGATCCTGGTATCTTCACAGCCCTAGAACCAACACCGAATAAAAGTTGATACTGTCGATCAATCACTATTAAATCACGTCAGAGTTCCTATTGGCCAGTTTAGCTGAAGAACCCAAAGTTTACAAAAACAGCTGATTTCTCTGTCAATATCCCATCACTACAGTCCTCTACAACACCAGGCCCCAGAATTCATTAAAGAGCCTGAAGACCCTGGAGGTGAGCCATGTTGTAACATCACCACCGTACAACACTACAGATACCATTGATTTCATTGACGAACAGCTACTGGCCCACATACTGTCTTTACAGACCAATCTAATAGAAACTACAGTATAGCTATGGCATACATCCTTTTTGGCCAACATCTCCCATACATAGTCAGTGTTGAGATAGCCGTCATCCATGCTGTATCTGGAATGCTGGATGTATTGGCCCACTGCTGAACCTATTACCATGAGAGAGTGAAGGGCAGTTTGAGGGAGAGCAGGGAGGATCAGAGTGCATGCTGGGAGGAGCAGGGCCGGGACTGTACAGCAGCGTGTGCGTCGCTCTGTGTCAGTTAGGGGAGGAGGGGGACGGGAGGGTTACAGACCCCATGGAAAAACCTCACTGGAGGAGGAGGACAAGCTGCGAGGGAATGGTATTAAAAAAGGAGGTTTGTCAATCCGGTCTGAGCCGGTTACCCCACCCTTTACTGTGTGCCAAGTTTCAGGAAAGGCTGTCCCCTCGCTCACGTGTGTGTGTGGGGTGGGGGAGATTAAAATGATCGACTGAAGCTTGCAATGCGCGGGGGAGGGGGGCTCGGCAACACAAGTCCTCCCTGATTTGTCCATTTATAAACACACATACACAAGCACAAACACGAAAGAAAGCCTCCCCTCTCCATCTGCCAGGGAGACCCAGCAGGGGGTGAGGCCAGTGGGATTATTCTCTATAAGAGCAACGCATTCAAATGACATTCCTTCAGATCAAGCCTCCTGGTATGTACACTAGCCGTACTCAACTTGGCTGCCTCTCCTCTCCCCTGCTTGGCTCTCTCCCACACCTCCTCACAAAGCAACGCCTCTCTCCACACCTAGAGATCAAGCACCGCAGCAACACTAACCACAAGTCAACTCTGGGTAGTGCTAGAAACCTAATTGCACTTTCTCTGTTAACTCCACTCCAACACAGAGGTAAAAATCCTTAACAAGACCTGTCAATCATGCCACCTCAATGTGTGACATATAAATGCTTTTATATGGAAAACCAGTACATCTGTCTCGTGGTAATCTTAAAACAAACAAGCTTGCAAATGCATATAATGCTGTCCCACTTAGAGTAGTGTGTATTTTATTCATGACACAATGGCCTTTCATTTCGGCTCAAGCCAAGTTAGCCCACTTTCTTTCTCCTTTAACCCTCTACTATTTTGATATGCATCTGACCACACCGCCACTACAACCTCTCCCATTGTCTTTCTGATAAAACTGCCCTGTCTGACGTGGGAACATTTTATTATCCTCCACCTCTCATTTGAATATGCTGAGGGAGGGGAGCGAGGACAGAGACAGAGCGAGAGAGAGAGACTGACTGACTGAGAGAGAGAGAGAGAGAGAGAGAGAGAGAGAGAGAGAGAGAGAGAGGATAGAGAGATAGAGAGAGAGAGAGAGAGAGAGAGAGAGGAGATAGAATAGAGAGAGAGAGAGACTAGAGCTGAGATCGATCTCGCGATACGAGATATAGATAGAGATAGATCAAGGCAGCAACTGCAGGGTTAACGGTCACGTCCTTCACAGTGTGGAAATAGATCCTGGGTGAGCCCACAGAGACTTCAGCCAAGTCAACCTGCTCTCACTGATGCTGCTGCTTACTGCACCAAGCTGCTGGGCTGGCCCCTGGTGCAAACCTGCTTACACATTATCCTCAGGACATACATGCCCGACCCCGGGTCACACAAAGATCTGTGGAAGCGGAGAGGAGTTAAAAACAGTCCCATAGGCTACCTCATACAGCCCAACCATTGAGGCATGCAGGTGCCCTGTCCTGTCCTGTACAGAGCAGCTAGGGGGAGAGGAGAAGAGGCCGGGGCCAGGATGAACCCACAGAGAGCCACAAAGAAACACAGTGCAAACAAACCTGATCCTGACACCTCCTCATGGCTTGAAACATTTCTTATCACTTATTCATTGCTGTGGGTGACAGCGGCCGCAGCGCCACACCATGTCCCCAAAGTCTCAGTTCCCAGTGCCACCACCGACCCAGCGTTGCCTGCTTAGTTCACTGGATCCCACTTCGCACGCACAGGGTGCTGCTTTGCAAGTCAAACCACTACTTACTGCTGCATATGCAGATCACCCCCCCCCTACCGTGCGCACCCAGCAAACGTGGCGAGCAGCTATCAAGATTAGATTTCGGGGATGATCCAAACCAAGACTCTCTGAGCTGAACGTTGACTTTGTTTCACTTCTATTGAACTTTGTCTATTTGGCGTTTAACACCTGAGTGTGATACATGGGCTTATGTCCTAGTTAGAACCCTTCTTATTGAATGACCAATACAGTGATATGTCGTGGTTATACTGGTAGTAAACTGGGTGGTGCGTTTTACTGGAAATATCATCTCAGGTCAACTGGGACCAGGATCAAAGAAGCTACGGTCTGTCTGACACATACCATTCATTCTTGGAGTAAAAAGACTATCAACCTTACCCAAGACAATCTCAGGCGTTCCTTACATGACCAAAATGAAAGTTGCTGAAACTGAGTGTTTTGCTATGATGCTTTTGAAAAGCAGTCAACCCCACACTTCATTGTTTCTCTGCTGAAGGGAGAACACAGAGATCAGAAAACAAGCATCCTTAGCAGAACAAGCAGTGCAAGTGTGTGGGGGATCAGTGGTATATTTGTGAATAATTGAACTCCAACCAGAGTGGAAAAATGACAGCAGACCAGGGTATAACTCCTAGAAGCATAGGGTGGGTAATATAGATAGACAGCAGAGTTCAAACAGGTTGTCTTTCCCTGGCTGACTGTCACGGGCTAAGACCAGCCCCCCGGTGATTAGTGACCGGAGCGCAGGCAGCCCAGAGAAAGGGAATCACTGGACCGGGGTCACCAGGGTTCAAGGTCATGTCACAGAGGATATTACAGGATAATCGAAATACTATGGGGAGGAGGGGGGCAGGGGCTGGCAAGTTCCAAGAAGAACAGGATTCTGACTGAGGCTGAGCCTGCCTGGCCTAGTGTGGCTGTGGGAGTCATTACTGTCAGGCTTGCTAGGATAAGAAGCCTGATTGGTACTGAGCAGGAAGAGGGCGAACAACTGATAAAACTGGAGGTGGGGCTGTGCTGCTCAACTTGAAACACGGCAGACGGCTGCCAAGAATCAGACACAATGCCCCTGACTGAAAGGTAGTGGGCGAGGCAATCTTAAACAAACTCACAACCTTGACATCAGCCCAAGGTATACTGCAAATTGAATGTGCTTCGAAAGTGTCTGAGAGACTCGAGAAACCTTTTCTTAGCCACTGTAAGAAACTAACCCTTCACACTGCAGTAGGGGTTAGACACCATTATATAAAATCCCTATATCATGTTTGTCAATAAAGGTTAAGTGCAAGAGGAAGTGGGAGATTTTTATGATTTCATATCAAAGGTCTAAGTTCTTTAAGGGTACCATTACCCCAGAGATCAAGAGATAGCTGGAGAGCCACTGTTGGGAATCACTAACTGACTACTGTATGGGTTTATTGTCCCATCCCCCTTCTCCTAGCAAAGCAAAGTAAAGGAAACCAAAGTGAAGGCTCGACTTGGCGTTCCTTGCCTCCCTCCTCCAGCCTGAGCTAGCTGGTCCAGAAACAGACCTGCACATCTGGCAGCAGCGTTTCAGACAGAGACACAACCTCTTCTACTGCTGGAACTATACATCCCTAACGCTGCCATGCTGTCAGTCAGGAAGTAGTGGATCCAAACTCACACGCAGCACTAAAATCAACAGCATCCCTAGTAGGCGGTTAGCTACACCCATAGTAGTGCCAGGTCCAGCAGCCGTAGCCCTCCTCCCCTCAGCCCTGCGCCATTCTGTGCAGGCGGCTGTGCATTGTGTGCAGAGGACTTCCTGTGTGTCTGTGACAGGCATGTAACAGAACCCGCTCTGTTATCAGATGACCATCCCTCTCTCTCTCTCTCTTCCAGACAATGCATTGAGCTGTGCCCCTGCTGGCCAACCACATCGGCCACATCCCCTTCAGCCTGCTGAGGAGGCTAAAACACCCAGCGTCTGGAAATGAGACGGGAACTCATCAGCCATGAGATTGTCATATGGTACTCTCTGATCACAGGAAACCTAAGCGAACACTCCTCTCTCCATACGTAGTACCAAGGTCAACATGGGATTACTCAGACAATAGTTGTCAGAAAACCAAATTAGGTTGTTTAGTCTTATGAAAACAACGACAACAACCAGCAAAGCCACAACAAAGTGTGACATCGTGGAGACAACCGACTCTGTAAAAGGAAATAGTGTAAAAAGTGAAGTCACACTCACAACACAACGGCCTACTCTAATCCTGGGCTGCATCTCAGCCTCTAATTTGATCAGGTTGTGTGAGCTGCTTCATAAGCCAGCAGGCCCAGGACAGCCCCTTTCACTCCCCCCCAGACACCACGACAACAACACATCATACAGAGCCATGTCTGTCTGTCTGTCTACTTGGGACAGGAACAGTGGGACATTTAGCTGTTGACAAGGGGAGATCTCCCTTAATAAGGGGGCAGATTATTGTTCAGTGCACCACCCAAAAGCAACATTACCTCAAAATGAGGCCTTCCAAAGACTGGCAGTAAGCATGCATGCAACCTGTCTCCTCCTGTCACTGTGGACCTGCTAGTTTGGGGCCTTATGGTGCACAACATACAAGAATATCAAACTGTATTCAACATTCTCACCGCCAAATTGATGGGTGGTGTCTAGGGCCTACCCACAACCACTGAAATCCCCTGCAATTCCCCTGGATGCTATTGTGGGTAACATGGAGCGTCTTGACTTAACCTCTTAGTGGAATTTACTCAGGCTGAAAGAAAGTGCAGCCTTTTGCAATTGGTACTCAGGGGTAGCAAAAGTAACATCAGAACATCAACACTTCGATATTTGACAGCATGTTTAAAACTCTGCCTCTGAAAGCTACACTACCGTTCAAAAGTTTTGGATCACTTAGAAATGTCCTTGTTTTCGAAAGGAAAGCAAATTTTTTGTCCATTAAAATAACATCAAATTGATCAGAAATACAGTGTAGACATTGTTAATATTGTAAAGGGCTATTGTAGCTGGAAACGGCTGATTTTTTATGGAATATCTACATAGGCATACAGAGGCCCATTATCAGCAACCATCAGTTGTTCCAATGGCACGTTGTATTTGCTAATCCAAGTTTATCATTTTAAAAGGCTAATTGATCATTAGAAAACACTTTTGCAATTATGTTAGCACAGCTGAAAACTGTGCTGATTAAAGAAGCAATAAAACTGGCCTTCTTGAGACTAGTTGTGTATCTGGAGCATCAGCAATTGTGGGTTCGATTAAATCAAATAAAATTGTATTTGTCACATACACGTGTTTAGCAGATGTTATTGCGGGTGTAGCGAAATGCTTGTGCTTCTAGCTCCGACAGTGCAGTAATATCTAACAATTTCACAACATATACCCAATACACACAAATCTAGTAAGGAATGAAATTTAAGAATATATATATATATGACAGAGCGGCATGGACTAAGATACAGTAGAATATTATAGAATACAGTATATACATATGAGATGAGTATTGCAAGATATGTAAACATTATTAAAGTGACTAGTGTTCCATTTCTTAAAGTGGCCAGTGATTTCAATAGGCAGCAGCAGCCTCTAATGTGCTAGCGATGGCTATTTAACAATCTGATGGCCTTGAGATAGAAGCTGTTTTTCATTCTCTCTGTCCCAGCTTTGATGCCCCTGTACTGACCTCGCCTTCTGGATGATAGCGGGGTGAACAGGCAGTGGCTCGGGTGGTTGATGTCCTTGATGACCTTTTTGGCCTTCCTGTGACATCGGGTGCTGTAGGTGTCTTGGAGGACGGGTAGTTTGTCCCCGGTAATGCGTTCGGCAGACCGCACCACCCTCTGGAGAGCCCTGCGGTTGCGGGCGGTGCAGTTGCCGTACCAGGCGGTGATACAGCCCAACAGGATGCTCTCAATTGTGCATCTGTAAAAGTTTGTGAGGGTTTTAGGTGCCAAGCCAAATTTCTTCAGCCTCCTGAGGTTGAAGAGGCTCTGTTGCGCCTTCTTCACCACACTGTCTGCGTGGGTGGACCATTTCAGTTTGTCAGTGATGTGTACGCCAAGGAAATTGAAGCTTTCCACCTTCTCCACTGCGGTCCCGTCAATGTGGATAGGGGGGTGCACCCTCTGCTGTTTCCTGAAGTCCACGATCAGCTCCTTTGTGTTTTGTTGACATTGAGGGAGAGGTTATTTTCCTGGCACCACACTCCCAGAGCCATCACCTCCTCCCTGTAGATGGTCTCGTCATTGTTGGTAATCAAGCCTACTACCGTTGTGTCGTCTGCAAACTTGATGATTGAGTTGGAGGCGTGCTTGGCCACGCAGTCATGGGTGAACAGGGAGTACAGGAGGGGGCTGAGCACGCACCCTTGTGGGGCCCCAGTGTTAAGGATCAGCGAAGTGGAGATGTTGTTTCCTACCTTCACCACCTGGGGGTGCCCGTCAGGAAGTCCAGGACCCAGTTGCACAAGGCGGGGTTCAGACCCAGGGCCTCGAGCTTAATGATGAGCTTGGAGGGTACTATGGTGTTGAATGCTGAGCTATAGTCAATGAACATCATTCTTACATAGGTATTCCTCTTGTCCAGACGGGATAGGGCAGTGTGCAGTGTGATGGCGATTGTATCGTCTCTGGATCTATTGGGGCGGTAAGCAAATTGAAGTGGGTCTAGGGTGACAGGTAAGGTAGAGGTGATATGATCCTTGACTAGTCTCTCAAAGCACTTTATGATGACAGAGGTGAGTGCTACGGGGCAATAGTCATTTAGTTCAGTTACCTTTGCTTTCTTGGGTACAGGAACAATGGTGGCCATCTTGAAGCATGTGGGAATAGCAGACTGGGAAAGGGAGAGATTGAATATGTCCGTAAACACACCAGCCAGCTGGTCTGCGCATGCTCTGAGGATGCGGCTAGGGATGCCGTCTGGGCCGGCAGCCTTGCGGGGGTTAAAATGCTTAGATGTCTTACTCACGTCGGCCACGGAGAAGGAGAGGCCACAGTCCTTGGTAGTGGGCCTCGTCGGTGGCACTGTGTTATCCTCAAAGTGGGCGAAGAAGGTGTTTAGCTTGTCTGGAAGCGAGACGTCGGTGTCGTCAACGTGGCTGGTTTTCTTTTTGTAGTCCGTGATTGTCTGTAGACCCTGCCACATAAGTCTTGTGTCTGAGCCATTGAATTGCGACTCCACTTTGTCTCTATACTGATATTTTGCCCGTTTAATTGCCTTGCGGAGTGAGTAGCTACACTGTTTGTATTCTGCCATATTCCCAGTCACCTTGCCATGGTTAAAATCGGTGGTTCGCGCTTTCAGTTTTGCGCGAATGCTGCCATCTATCCACGGTTTCTGGTTAGGGTAGGTTTTAATAGTCACAGTGGGCACAACATCAAGGGAGTAGTACACAGCGTTGTACGAGATCTTCAGTTTCTTGGCAATTTCTCGCATTGAATAGCCTTCATTTCTCAGAACAAGAATAGACTGACGAGTTTCAGAAGAAAGTTATTTGTTTCTGGCCATTTTGAGCCTGTAATTGAACCCACAATTGCTGATGCTCCAGATACTCAACTAGTCTCAAGAAGGCCAGTTTTATTGCTTCTTTAATCCGCACAACAGTTTTCAGCTGTGCTAATATAATTGCAAAAGTGTTTTCTAATGATCAATTAGCCTTTTAAAATGATAAACTTGGATTAGCAAACAACGTGCCATTGGAACACAGGACTGATGGTTGCTGATAATGGGCCTCTGTACGCCTATGTAGATATTCCATAAAAAATCAGCCGTTTCCAGCTACAATAGCCATTTACAACATGAACAATGTCTACACTGTATTTCTGATCAATTTGATGTTATTTTAATGGAAAAATAAATTGCTTTTCTTTCAAAAACAAGGACATTTCTATGTAACCCCAAACTTTTGAACGGTAGTGTATCTAAACACCTCTCAGTTCTGGGTGTCTTTATTACAATAAAATACACCCCTTCCTCTCTCTCTCTCTTACCCACACACTTCAAAACAAGTCCAACAAGTATGGGTTGCCAGAAATACGCATCTGTGAATTAGAAAAATAAGTTATGGTTCCTGCAACGTCTTTTGACAAACCACCAACTGACAGACAGACACTGTAGGCTAAAATATGTTGTGACACAAATCACACAATGCCAAGAGGGCTACATGAGGCGAGAGGGATGAAGAGAGTGACAAAAAGGAGAGTGTGGGCAGCCGGGGAGAAGAAGAACTGAAAGTTAATAAACAAATACAGGAGTTCCCAAGGGCAGTGGGCAAAGTTTCCAGTGGGGGCTCGTTCACTAGACTTCACTAATGAGGGGAAATTGTCCACAAGAGGTGTCACATTTTCTTCCATCATGTCACATTTGTGTCTGAGGGTAAGGAAGGAGATATCATCTGTAGCTGACTCATTTATTACAATAATAACAACATTAATAACCATTAACAGTACACACAATCACACTATTTCAGATGATCAAATTAACAATCCTCATTTTAAATCAACCCAGTAAGTAAAGGGTTAAAAGGGCACAGTGTATATAGCCAAATCTTTAAGACAACTGTCTCTCTAAACATGATGTGCTCTACCTGCTCTGAGAAATGCCCTATTTGCCATCTTTCATATCTGCAAGTGGGTCAGGAGCTCTGAACTCTACCAAGCCCCATCCCATCCCTCTCTCTCTCTCGCTCGCTCTCACACACACAGAACCTGGTATTTATTTCCTCAGCTCTCCTCCTCCTCTCTCTCTCCTCAGTGTCAGGGGAGAGAGAGTGCAGTTTGAGCTCTTACCAGCTGGGCAGAAGCGTGTGTCCCTTCCCCAGGCCCTGTCCGGCTCTCCTGCCTGCTCTCCTGTCTCCGTGTCTGGGTATGGCCCTGCCTGCTGCCTCAGTACTGGAGCTTTTGCAGACAGGAAACTTCCGAGTGGCCCTATTCATACAGGCAAGCCCTTGCCTGATCCCACACAAGCAGACACCTACACTCCCCTCTATTTTCAGCCCACTGCTCTGGCATGTCTTCCCCATCTGCGATTGGCTTGACAGCCACTCACTCACCACACCTCCTTGCTGGGATAGGCTGGCAGCTGTTTCCTTTCCTGTATGGCCAAGGGCAAGGCACTCTGGGATGTGGAGTCCTTAAATGCTATTTGACCTGCTACACAGCCCTTGCTGTGAACTACGAGTCCCAGCTTTCCGTCCCTCGCCACCCCCACTGCTCCAAGCCTGTTCCAACGTAAGCACTCAGGGCAGAATTATACACTACAGTATGTTACTAGCAGGATGCCAGGTATTAAAAGTACAAACCAGCCATCAAACAGGGCTGTGCTGCATACTAACAAAAGACTCTCGACCAAAACTGTCAAAGCCACATCCAAACACTGTATTCAGTGGCACTACCCCACTGTCTACATTTTAAACACACTTCAAGACGCCTGACCTAAATTAAGACTAATTTCTATTCTGATCAATTCCAAATCAGCAGGAAAGAATGACCAACCCAGCTAAAATATATTTAACACACATTGCTCGTAACTTTTCTCTCCAAGCATGAGTTCTTAGTGAATGACAAATTCCGAAAAGTTAATGTCATTCGCTTGTCATCGTACCTTGTTCTATATAATTATTTTTGGTTCCTCCTTCCTCTTGTTCAGAACCCACCCCCGCCCCCCCATCCACCTCATCCTCTAAGTGCTTCCACCTGCCCGAAAAGTTAATGCCTCAAACACACCAAATAAAACTCATCATCCCCCAAAAGGTAAAAGCAGGAATCAGATAAGTATTTTAGCAGAAATAAAAACAGAACCATAACTACTGACTGCGACCCCCCCCCCCCTCCCCCTCCCCCTCCCCCCCCTCTGTCTCCCTCCCTCATTCCTTTCTCCTCTCCTCCTGTGCCTGCTCCCTCCGGTCGACAGGCCCAGGGCGGACAGCGGGAGTGCTTTTTGCTCACCTGCGATGGCCGTGGTGGTGCTTGTTATGGGTCAGCCCTCCTCTCCTCCTCTCTCTCTCTCTCCCTCTCTCTCTAACTGTCGTGCTGCTCAAAGCCCCATATGCGCTAACCAAGCAGCAGCAGATCAACTCAATTCCCTTCCTGGTTTCTGGAGGGCAAAGAGGTCCCTCCCTTTCGCTCTTTCTCTCTTAAAGAAACAGCATTCCCCTAGATGTTTCTCTTGCGCTCCTCTCTGGGGAGAAAAGTAAAAGAGATATTCGTCTGTGATCAAGAATGGACATTTGTTATATTAATGACATAAAAAATGAGCACTTTACTTCATCCTCTTGCTGTTGAAAATAGATGTCGGTACAGTTGTCAACAGAGTCCATATTAATTGGGCATGATTTGATTGCAGTTCGTATTTTCTCTCTTCTACTGTATATTCTCACTCTCTCTCTCTCTGCGCGAGACGAATCGCACCCACCCATCCCATAGCCTGAGGTCAGTGTCCCACCCCAAAAACAAGCCTTGGTACATTCCAGGGCACAGGGGCTGCCAGCAACCCCCTCGAGACGCTCAGTCTCTCCCTCTACCTCTGTCCCTCCCCCTTCTCACGTTGTACTGGAATACCTGTACCTTTTCCAGGTAAGCCTACAGAACATGCCTCACCTCTTCAGTCATACTAAGCCCACTTTTACCAATGTTTCTTCGGTGGCGTGTAAGGCACCAGTCAAAATCAAATCGTTCGGCTTTATATCTCTTATAAGGACAACTCATTTTGACTAATTTCTAACATGCCTATGCACTTTTTCAATTTTCTACACTGCACACCTGGACAGTCCCAGTCAGCGTGGGATGGAGATCTTCCATACTCTAAACTATCTTTAACAGACAACACACTGAGTATGAACACATCATGTATGAAGTGACAGCTTACCTTATGTAATGTGATGAAACAGCTAGCCATGACCGGTGTCTCCTTGGTCTGACTGGAATCTGTTGCACCCCACACTGTGTGGCATGGCTTGGCACTGTGAGGAGAACTCGGCTAGACATGCTCTGACAGCATGGGGGAGGCAGTAACACACACCCAGCCTAGAGGGCAGTGTCAGCACTACAGCAGGTAGCAGAGGTAGTTCACACAGACAAAACGCTGAATATACAAAATTATGCATGATCATTTTAGTTGATCAGGATCTATGCTATACATCCCTCAAACTGAACTCTGGACCTCGAAGCGCGTGCCACTGCGTTTTTTCATTGTTCTCCTTTAATCAGGGACTGATTTAGTCCTGTGACACCAGGTGGGTGCAATTCATTTTCAGGTAGAACAGAAAACCAGCAGGCTCCGGACCTCGTAGGGTTGAATACCCCTGCTATACGGACACTTGATATAAACAATTTACAATCTATAATAACAGCGATAAATCAATAAATTAATATTTGTGACAGTTCTGCAGTTTAACATCCAATACATTGTACATCTGAACGATTTAACTATACCGTTTTCCTACAAGTCTAAAATAATTAGCGAACAATCAGACTGGTTAATTTTCCCTTCTGGTTGGCAGGCCAGATGATGTCAGCCATGTTTATTACAATACAGTTTTACAGTCCAATATAAACTAGTCTTCCCCACCACGGACACCCACCAGCAACTCTGCTTTTGTCATTTGTGGCTGAGTCATGGTTTCGATTTAATTCAGGCCAAAGGCGAGACACTTTAATCAAACAATACTTAAGAGCAATACGGAATGTATCTCCTAAAGTGTTTTGGTTTTAAAATACGTATCCAAAGAATTGTTTAACTGGAAGCTATGTGTTGCAGCTCCATAACTCAACAGTTGAAGACTCCTTAGATTTGTGTAGCATGTTATAACCTGGGTTAAGAGCATCATTTGGCACTTACCTCCCGTCTTTCCTCCTTAAGTATTAGGTAGCAACTTCGGTTTCTAAAGGAACGCTCCTGCAATAGGGCAAAGCCATTAAGTTCTCCCAATAGAAAGCACAATTTAATATTTGCTCCTTAACAACTAACCACAAAACCCTCCCACATAAAAACAAGGTTGCCATATACATTCACAAATAAGTTTTATTTTTTACATTATAACAATATCCAACACCCTTTTTTTTTTGATAAAATGACATTTCTTCCATTTCAGTCTAAACGAGTCAAAAATGGTTTCCTTAAGACTGCAAAATAGCACTTGCGTACAGTTTATATAGCTTTATACACATACAGGCGACAATGCTTTCACTTTGTTAGCAACGAATGCAAGTCTAATGGGAATTCTGAATGTCAGCCAGAAGCAGATGATACATACGGGGTCTCTTACAGACGACAGGCTAATTAATACATTTTACCACCACCACCCCACCAGAGCCAGTCACCACGGCTTCACCAAAAGAAAGCTTGGCGTGTAAGTTACACGTACTCACGCAAAGCAGAACAGTGCGAGCAGAACCAAAAACACTTGGGGGAATAAATTGAGTACACTGGCAAAAATCTGAACATTTCAGAGCAGCTGTAGTCAAGGTGTTGGACAGATTCTGAGTTGACACAGATGAGCGTTTCAGGCAGTTGATACAGAGACAAGTAAAAAAAAAAAAAAACATGATCTTGGGAGTCTGGAAAATATATAAGATAGTAAATCATGCCATTTTGTAAAATGAACACATTTGTTAACTGCTTAATTACCATTATAACCAAATAAAAATGTCAACATTCAAAGTACTCCTCTCTCAAAAAAATACTGGTCATGAATGTACAAAACTAAGTACTTTGATAAGGCATTATATGCAAAACATTAGTAGTCATGATGAGTACCTTCTTTGGTTTGCTGTCCTCCTGTGAATACAAAGCACTTGACTCCAGTGATTTCTGTCATGGACACCTTTTCTTTGTCAAAGATGGCCCCTCTACAGCCTTCACTAATATGCAGTTGCACAAACCCTTAACAACTCTCTTGCCAATATTAATACAGAATTTATCAATACATTTTTACATTTTAGTCATTTTAGCAGACGCTCTTATCCAGAGCGACTTACAGTTAGTGAGTGCATACATTTTTCATACTGGCCCGCCGTGGGAATCGAACCCACAACCCTGGCGTTGCAAGCGCCATGCTCTACCAATTGAGCTACAGGAGGCCACAATACAAATGTGGTAAGATGATAACAATGGCAATTAATAAATTATAAACTGGCAGCCCTTTCATGCTTTGTACCTTCTCGTTAACATGATGATTGGAGAAAAAGAGCATGACTTGTGTGTAGATCTACCCTGACACTGGCATGGGAAATCTGTGGTCATACAATGAGTCAATGGGCCCTGTTGATGATAAGTGTACTTTAGAGAGAGTGCTGAAACCTTTAAGAGCAAGACGAAACAGGTGCCAAAGTGTGTGTGTGTGTGTGTGTGACAGTGAGACACCAGGGATCCTAATGTGGGAAGCAGCTTGGCGCTGGGCTGTTCATTCTGTGACGCGGGTGGGGGTGCTGGGTTGGTTGAGGCCCATGGTTTTACACATCCAGCCAGCAAAGTCCACCTCCTCCACCTCAGCACGCTTGATAAACGTGTGGTTCTAAACAAATAACAAACGCAAGTTAATGAATACATTATAATTAGTTCATGGCTAATATCGAAAGGGCATGTACAGTAGGGAACATAGCCACAGTGGTCACTTTAACGCAGAATTTGGCGTTTTTCCACACAGAAGAAATGTGATAAAACGCATAAGAAACATATTGCTGCGTTTTATCAACGCAGATCTTAAATTCTTCTTATTGTAATTTCTGCTTGGCTTCAGATACATCAGACCAATCAAATCCCCACATTCACGAACAGGCATTCCATCAGCAGACAGTGCTCTGACTGATGTGAAGCTACTTTTATCCAGTACTTTTCTCTTTGTACTTTTCTCTGGTAAAATGGAAGATTAACTTAAAGCAAAACATTAGGAAATGTAGCTGGCTACATTCTTTCTATGATAAACATTAGATATGATGGCCATGGTCATCTCATGAAAATGAAGCAATTTTCTGCCGAATGTGTTGCATTTTGTGTGAAGGAAAACTGTAGTTGCACGCCCCTGATCACTTTATTGAAGAAAAAAAAAAAAGTTGACTTTCAATATAAAACGCAGGTGAAAGGGTTTAAAACGCATATTTTTTGAATGTCTGCGTTTTGAAAACGCAGATTTCTGAACGCTAATACGACCCCTGAGCCAATTTGCAAACAAAAAAAAAGTGTTTGTAAACCTCAATTAACTAACATAGCTAAACTGTCCAACTACATACAGTTGAAGTCAGAAGTTTACATACACTTAGGTTGGAGTCATTAAAACTCATTTTTCAACCTCTCCACAAATTTCTTGTTAACAAACTATAGTTTTGGCAAGTTGGTTAGGACATCTACTTTGTGCATGACACAAGTACTTTTTCCAACAATTGTTTACAGACAGATTATTTCACTGTATCACAATTCCAGTGGGTGAGAAGTTTACATACACTAAGTTGACTGTGCCTTTAAACAGCTTGGAAAATTGCAGACAATGATGTCATGGCTTTAGAAGCTTCTGATAGGCTAATTGACATCATTTGGGTCAATTGGAAGTGTACCTGTGAATGTATTTCAAGGCCTACCTTCAAACTCAGTGCCTCTTTGCTTGACATCATGGGGAAATCAAAAGAAATCAGCCAAGACCTCAGATAACAAATTGTAGACCTCCACAAGTCTGGTTCATCCTTGGGAGCAATTTCCAAACGCCTGAAGGTACCACGTTCATCTGTATAAACAATAGTATGCAGGTATAAACACCATGGGACCACGCAGCCGTCACCGCTCAGGAAGGAGACGCGTCCTGTCTCCTAGAGATGAATGTACTTTGGTGCGAAAAATGCAAATCAATCCCAGAACAACAGCAAAGGACCTTGTGAAGATGCTGGAGGAAAGAAGTACAAACGTATCTATATCCACAGTAAAATTAGTCCTATATCGACATAACCTGAAAGGCCGGTAAGCAAGGAAGAAGGCACTGCTCCAAAACTGCCATAAAAAAGCCAGACTACGGTTTGTAACTGCACATGGGGACAGAGATCGTACATTTTGGAGAAATGTCCTCTGGTCTGATGAAACAAAAATACATCTGTTTGGCCATAATGACCATCGATATGTTTGGAGGAAAAAGTGGGATGCTTGCAAGCCGAAGAACACCATCCCAACCGTGAAGCACGGGGGTGGCAGCATCATGCTGTGGGGGTGCTTTGCTGCAGAAGGGACTGGTGCACTTCACAAAATAGATGGCATAATGAGGAAGGAAAATAATGTGGCTATATTGAAGCAACATCTCAAGACATCAGTCAGGAAGTTAAAGCTTGGTCGCAAATGGGTCTTCCAAATGGACAATGACCCCAAGCATATTTCCAAAGTTGTGACAAAATGGCTTATGGACAACAAAGTCAAGGTATTGGAGTGGTCATCACAAAGCCCTGACCTCAATCCTATAGAAAATTTGTGGGCAGAACTGAAAAAGCATGTGCGAGCAAGGAGGCCTACAAACCTGACTCAGTTACACCAGCTCTGTCAGGAGGAATGGGCCAAAATTCACCCAAATTATTATGGGAAGCTTGTGGAAGGCTACCCGAAACGTTTGACCCAAGTTAAACAATTGAATGTAAACTTCTGACCCATTGGGAATGTGATTAAATAAATAAAAGCTGAAATAAATCACTCTCTCTGCTATTATTCTGACATTTCACATTCTTAAAATAAAGTGGTGATCCTAACTGACCTAAAACAGGGAATTTTTACTAGGATTAAATGTCAGGAATTGTGAAGAACTGAGTTGAAATGTATTTGGCTAAGGTGTATGTAAACTTCCCACTTCAACTGTAGATGCACTTCAAGTAACAGTCAATGGCGATAACAGTTGCTAGCTACTCACCATCAGCATCTTCAGGTCAGCTCTCTCCGCTGGATTCTTGATCAGACTATTAACACAAACAGTTGATAACCTCCATGACTCCCAAGAAATCATTAGAAAACCCCGCATAGAGAAATAAAAGGAAAGCTTTCTCCACTATGAAATATGTTTGTCTCTAATCCCTCCAGAAGTTCTTGGAGTAGGTTAGCAGCACAGGAAATCACAATAAGCACCTTCTCATTTTGCTGACTTGACCGAATATAAAGTAATTTCTCTAGAGATGAGAAAATGACGTTTGAATCTAAGTTTGTGCCACATTGCTCTAGGCTCTGCCTAGTGGATGCAATTCACAAGGTGTGTGGAGAGCCCACACACAGCCACCAAACAGTCATAGTAAACCAACTGGGGATTCTGTCTGAATGCTGACAATAAAAGGTGCTGAGGTAATGGGCAGTATTCTTATATGATGAATGCTTGGGCTCACCATTTTGTCACAAACTCCTGGAAATCGTTGGTGAAGACACCGAGTGGAAGCCTGGGAGGAGGCTGGGAATGAGGAGAAGGTATGCAAGAGAACAAAACTCATTTAAAATGACCAGAGCACACGGACAAGGAGAACGTGTAATAAGGAGAATAATATGTGGAGTCAGCAGTTCATCTGACCTCATTGACAATGTAGTCCAGCAGCTCAAATATAGCCATGGCAGGTCGACTGTCCAGCCCATGTCCTGAGGAAGAGGAGAATATGGAGAGAAATGTAGAAATCGTAAATAAAATAAAACATTCAAAAATATATATATTTTGTTTTGCTTCCAGGATACCTTTTATTGAAAAGCAAAAATAAATCTGTTTGAAAAGCACTTATATTATTACTGTGTCGTAATATTGCGTGAGAAGAAAGGGCTTCAGGTGTGTTCTAACCGCTGACTGGTCGTCCTCCTGGTGGTCTGGGGAGGCGGTTGGAGGGGGCGTGTGGTTCCCCCTCGGCTCCGTCCTGTACAGGCCGGCCAAAGATAGCTTCCAGCTCCTTGGCGTCAGGCGGGGGGATGGGGTAGCGGCCGATGGCCAGCTCCACCAGGGACAGGCCCATGCTCCACACGTCCGACTGCACAGAGTAGTGTGTGCCCTGCAGTCTCTCCGGCTGTTGAGGAAAACACACGTACGTCACACCCAGAGTGGGCCAAATGGGCAGGCAGGGCGGGCGGCTCTGTGCATCACTCCCTCCAGGTGTCTGAGGGAAGGGGACAGGGCTGGCAGCGGCTGCCTCCGTGCCACACAGCCCTCTACTGGGTACGGCCTCGGCTCTTGGCAGGGCGGCCTGGGCAGGGGAGGGAGAGCTGACTCACCGACATGTAGGAGCGCGTTCCCACGAAGGAGTTGGCCATGGAGTCGATGAGCTGGCCACTCACGCCAAAGTCACACAGCTTGATCTCCCCGCGTGAGTTCACCAGGATGTTGGAGGGCTTGACGTCTGTGTGGCAGAGCAGGGAGGACAGTTGAGGTGTCAGAGCGAGAGGGCCGGGGGCCCAGACCCAGCAGCCCTAGCTGCGCCTTCCCCATGTCTCCCTGTCCCTGTCCCTGTCCCATGCCAGACACCTCACCACTGACACATTTCACAAAGCCACTGATTCTGCTAGCTAGCACTGACCGCAACATTTACAGTTGAGACCATACAAACAAGCCAAATCCTCCTCAATCCCTCTAGTCTGGAAAAATTCTCAATAATGGGGTGTAGTAGACCTGCTATCCATCCTCTGTGGTGACCCCTCCCACTTCAGAGCAGACAGAGGGGCAAGTATGAGAGGTGGCGTGACAGAGAGAGGGGACTGCAGGGCGTGGCTGCCATGTAATCACACTGGAGAGCCTGTAATTACCGACTGGGCTCCTAGACAGCTCTGCTCTGCTTCAGCTCTGCTGCCTAACAACCCCACAGCCCAAAACACTAACATACACCATGGCCCTCAGCTCCGCCTTCAACTACACCCCAACACACCAGAGCCCACCCCATCGGCTCCATATACATCAGGGCCCTCAACTAAAATAAAAAAAACACTCGGCTCAAAACACTTCACCACCGCCCTCAGCTCCAGAACAACACTAGACAGCAAAACCTTAAAGACAACAGGTTTTTTTTAATTTATTTTTTACAGTACATCCCCTCATCTCCAGATACACCCAAATACACTATAGACCTCACACTAATTCAATACATCCAAATAAAACACTACCCAGGGTCTCAAATCATATCGTTAATATGCACAAAAACACATACATTCTATATGGAGAGATGTCTCTTACCTCTGTGCATGATCTGGTGCTTCTCCCGCAGATAGGCAAGTCCTCTGAGTACCTTTAAAAGTGAGATGCAAACATTTTATTTAACACAACACATCGTCATCCACACTTCCTGGTCCTGAAATCATACACAAAGACCAGCTCTGAGATGTTTCACCCTGCCTGGGTCCATAGTTACATCCATTCAGGATATCACATCAAAAACACACAGTGTGAACAGTGAGGTCTTGCATGTCGAGCTTCCTGTGACTCCTGATTATCACAATGACAGGAGAAAAAGCAGTCTATTGAGAAACAATAAGAAACTCCTTCCAAAAGGCCCAGTGCAGTCCAAATTCTGTTTTTCCTATCATATTCTACAACAACTGGTGAAACTAACACTGTAAAAGTGAGAGAAAAAAAATGTATGAGTGTTATTTCCTGAAAATACAATTTACACAGGAACTTCTAATAAGCAGGGTTTGCATGGGTGGAGTTTTGGCTTGCCTGGCGGTATTAATTAATAGACCACAAAGTGAGTTCCAAACCTCTCTGCCAATAGCAGATAGTTTTCAGGTTATATGTCCCTCCTATTAGGCCCCTCATTCAGGCCACTCCCAGACATTCCTAGCAAAATGTTTGTTTGATAAATAATATTTTTTTTTACAATTTTAATGAAAAAATATTACAGTAATGTACTAATTGTTCCCCAGAAATTATTTTATAATGACATGAAAACAGCTGCATTGGGCCTTTAACCAGAGTGCAGTTGATCACAGGTGTGACATACTGTGAAGTTGTTGTGTTTAGAGCAGGGAGTTGTTGTGGCCCGCAGATCAATTCCCCTCAAAATGTGGTTGTGCATCAGTAGTTTTTATCTTGTTATGTCAGTCACTCAATTAACCTTTGTCAGCTAAAACTTTTTAGATTGGTAATTTGTCTTATGGCCAGCTATCTAAACTTGTTTAAATTGCTTTTGTTAGTCACTCAGGTCAGCATTTAAAAAACTGCAAACATTTCTCTCCACCCTATGGCAATATGCGTAGAATTGCAGAAAATTTGCTATAAAACTAGATAAAACTAGACATCTACAAAATAAAACAAGTACCATTAAATGAAGCACAAATAATACATTAAAATCTTCATTGTTGTGTAATACTCACTGCTATGCTGACTTTGCCCAAGATCTCCTCAGGGATTCTCCTGGCTTCCTTCAGTACCTGATCCAGAGAGCCTCCATCCTGTACCCAACAGGCCACGGCTTAATGTCTGACACACACAGCTACTGTACATGGTCAGCATTTTGTATTGTTTTGTCATACTGTAATACACAATAACTCCAGGTGCATGACAAGATTAAGGTATATCGTAACAACTATTGCAACATCTCAACTTGTTAAAACAAAGTTACAACTGGTTTGCTAGTGTTATCCCACAGGTCCTATAATAAGCACCATTGCAGTCTTAAAACCACACACAAATGTTCACACATCTGCCTTTTTGCCATGGACCCCCATTGTCTTCCAACACGTTGCATCATTCCAGGACAGTTAGTTCAATGACTGAGGTAAATCAGACCCTCCCCCTCAACTCAAACCTTGGTCTCTCTCACTCTTACCATGTGCTCCATACAGATACTGATCTCGCCATCGCTGTAGAAGGCCCCGTAGAAACCCACGATGTAGGGAGAGTTACACTCATGGAGCACCTGCAGCTCTCTGATGATCTGGTTCCTGATGGCAGGCTTAATCTCCAGGTGGATGAGCTGTGGAGGAGAAGAGATCAGATCAACATCAGAATAATCTATTTTTAACCTTAAGTCAGTTAAGAACAAATTATTATTTACAATGAAGGCCTACCAAAAGGCCTCCTGCAGGGACAGGGGCTGGGATTAAAAATAAAAATATAGGACAAAACGCACATCACGACAAGAGAGACACCACAACACTACATAAAGAGAGACCTAAGACAACATAGCATGGCAGCAACACATGACAACACAGCATGGTAGCAACCCCACATGACAACAACATGGTAGCAACAACATGGTAGCAGCACAAAACATGGTACAAACATTATTGGGCACAGACAACAGCACAAAGGCAAGAAGGTAGAGACAACAATACATCATGCGAAGCAGCCACAACTGTCAGTAAGAGCGTCCATGATTGAGTCTTTGAATGAAGAGATGTCCAGTTTGAGTGTTTTTTGCAGCTCGTTCCAGTCGCTAGCTGCAGCGAACTGAAGAGAAGAGCGACCCAGGGATGTGTGTGCTTTGGGGACCTTTAACAGAATGTGACTGGCAGAACGGGTGTTGTATGTGGAGGATGAGAGCTGCAGTAGGTATCTCAGATAGGGGGGAGTGAGGCCTAAGAGGGTCTACTGCTCATCTAGAATAACTTATTAGTTTCAGAGTCATAAACCGACTTAGACTTGTGTGTAGACCTGGTTTCTTTCAACAGTCTCAGTAGTGTAGCATAGATCTAAAACTCTGGGTTTGGAGAAAAATGTCAAAAGTAGATACAAGGTTAGACTCACCTTCCGGGCCATGACCAGTCTGGAGGGTTTGTGGCGGACCTTGTTGACCACTCCACCGTTGCCAGCGCCCAGCTCACATATGGGGTGGAAATCATCATCCTTCAGCTCGCCCACTTGGGCTTTCTGGGTGAGGAAAGCCTCCAGACGTTTCCTCTGCTGTTCGTCCAAATCTAGCTCTCCTAGCTTCTTCTGTAACGCCTCCAGATTGGCTCTAAGAAGGAGATATACATGGCACAGTAGAATATTAAACAACCATATTCTTTCCTGGGAACACATCTTTGCACATTTTTGTTCTAGCCCAGCAGTAACCGGAAGCAACTAATCACTGAGCCCGTGATTGGTTTGAATCAGGTGTGTTAAGCTAGTGTTACTTAGGTTAGTTTTGGCCTGGAACTAAATTGTCCATCTACAGTCCCCGGAGCCAGCATTTCCCTAATATCAGTACAGTAGACATGCCCTCAGCCATCCCATGAGTACTCACTCAGACGCAGCATCGATGTTCGTGGAGATGGACTGCCCCTCTCCAATGGGCGTGATATTTAGGGGAACGGGTCTTCTCTTCGGAGCCATTTCGAAATATTTGACAGTGCCCTGGACGACTTTCCGAAGCAAATCAATACAATTAACTGATATTTCAACGTTGTTCTAAAAGAGCAACAGGGGTAAATGTTGCTGGCGGTCTGTGACTTAGCTGGTTAACGTTACTTTGCGAGCATGGCAGATAAGTGTTTAAAGACAATCCCAGATGCACGTCACCATCAGGTCAGGTGCATTTGGCTATTTAGATAGCTAATTTAGCTAGTTAACGAGTACAGAATATTTCACAAACTATCTGTATTTCTTACACAACACATTAACGTTACTGTTCCTTTCGCTTCTTGGCTAGCTAGCAAGCTAGCTGCTAGGCGATAACTAGATTCTAGAACCGGCTCCCCTACGAAAATCGTGTGGTGCGTTCTTCAAATCGGAGCGGCCCTCGCCACTCAGGTCTCACGGAAAGGACAGCGGCGGTGGTTGACAGGACTGGTCACTGACCGAGGATGGTTGGCCTTCGAAGGTTTGGGGGGTGCAGCGGTGGACCTTCCCTTGTATGCAGCCGGGGTGTGAAGTTTGGTTGCGGAGAAGGGCTTCCGCAGAGTGAAAAGGAAGCGAGACACCCCACTCTATTTTTTTTCTTCTGGTTTAATGGACCCAGCTGCTATTGTATTGGTGTCTATGTGAGACACACTCAGTTAAGTAGACCGGAACTGACTTATTTTTTTCCAATGGTAAACGGCCTAAGTGAGCTATTGTTGCTTCGGGGTTTCTGTACAGGAAACAGAAACATGGTCGTTGCCACAGTTATAAACCCCGCCTATTTCTAAAATGTATCTATTTAAATTTTGATTGTAAACCTAACCGTAACCACACTTATGCTTAATCCTAACCTTACATTAACACATTTTTGCGATAGCGCGACCAGAAAGTCTAAATGTACTATCTAGTGGAGACCAAGCAACATGGGGTCTTCCAAAAATCGCGAGACTGAGCAATCATGAGCATAGCAATTGAACTATCGCGGTATTTTAGGACAGGTCTGTTTCATGAATAGCGACCTCCAATGGAAGGTTGTAGAAATTACAATCAAGCCGTTTTCTACAACTTCCTACTCAACTACTTCAGTTCAGACTACAAACTTACTTCACTTTTCAAAAGGTTTGATTAGATGTGTGTTTCATTTGAATATTTAACCTATAAAAGTCTTAGCCTGGAGAAGGATTCTACTAAGCTAACATATGGCATTGTTTTAAGATAGTCACACCACCATTATTACATTTACATTTACGTCATTTAGCAGACGCTCTTATCCAGAGCGACTTACAGTTAGTGCATACATTATTCTTTTTTATTTTCATACTGGCCCCCCGTGGGAATCGAACCCACAACCCTGGCGTTGCAAACGCCATGCTCTACCAACTGATCTACCTCCCTGCCGGCCATTCCCTCCCCTACCCTGGACGACGCTGGGCCAATTGTGCGCCGCCCCATTGGTCTCCCGGTTGCGGCCGGCTACAGCAGAGCCTGGATTCGAACCAGGATCTCTAGTGGCACAGCTAGCACTGCGATGCAGTGCCTTAGACCACTGCGCCACTCGGGAGACTTGAAACCCTTATTATTATCCCAGAAACCCTAGATCCACTCCAATTTGCATACTGCCCCAACAGATCCACAGATGATGCAATCTCTATTGCACTCCACACTGCCCTTTCCCACCTGGACAAGAGGAACACCTACGCGAGAATGCTATTCATTGACAACAGCTCAGCATTCAACACCATAGTGCCCTCAAAGCTAATCACCAAGCTAAGGACCCTGTGACTAAATTCCTCTCTCTGAAACTGGATCCTGGACTTTGTCCCGTCCTGTACTCCCTGTTCACCCATGACTGCATGGCCAGGCACGACTCCAACACCATCATGAAGTTTGCCGACGACACAACAGTGGTAGGCCTGATCACTGACAACGATGAGACAGCCTATAGGGAGGAAGTCAGAGACCTGGCCGTGTGGTGCCAGGATAACAACCTCTCCCTCAACGTGATCAAGACAAAGGAGATGATTGTGGACTACAGGGAAAAAAAAGAGGACTGGGCACGCCCCCATTCTCATCGACAGGGCTGTAGTGTAACAGGTTGAGAACTTCAAGTTCCTTGGTGTCCACATCACCAACAAACTATCATGGTCCAAACTATCATGGTCCAAATCATGGCATCTTTTCACTCCCTCCTCTCTACATTTTCTTCATCTGTTTCTGCTGCTAAGGCCACTTTCTACCACTCTAAATTCCAAGCATCTGCCTCTAACCCTAGGAAGCTCTTTGCCACATTCTCCTCCCTGCTGAATTCTACTCCCCCTCCCATCCAGGATATCTATATAGCCACTAGTCATAGACTGTTCTCTCTGCTACTGCACGGCAAGCGGTACCGGAGCGCCAAGTCTAGGTCCAAAAGGCTCAACAGCTTCTACCCCCAAGCCATAAGACTCCTGAACAGCTAATCATGGCTACCGGACTATTTGCATTGTATTCCCCACCCCACCCCCTTTTACACTACTGCTCCTCTCTGTTTATTATCTATGCATAGTCACTTTAACTCTACCCACATGTACATATTACCTCAATTACCTCGACTAACCTGTGCCCCCACACATTGACTCTGTACCGGTACCCCCTGTATATAGCCTCCCTACTTTTTACTGCTGCTCTTTAATTATTTGGTCTACACCTGTCGTATTCGGCGCATGTGGCAAATCAAATTTGATACCATGGATCATTTAGCTATTTGATTTTGAATTTTAGGACCCCTGTAGGTATAAAAACAAACTCAGCAAAAAAAAGTCCCTTTTTCAGGACCCTATCATTCAAAGATCATTTGTAAAATCCAAATAACTTCACAGATCTTCATTGTAATGGGTTTAAACACTGTTTCCCATGCTTGTTCAATTAACCATAAACAATTAATGAACATGCACCTGTGGAACGGTCGTTAAGACACTAACAGCTTACAGACGGTAGGCAATTAAGATCACAGTTATGAAAACTTAGGACACTAAAGCGGCCTTTCTACTTACTCTGAAAAACACCAAAAGAAAGATGCCCAGGGCCCCTGCTCATCTGCGTGAACGTGCCGTAGGCATGCTGCAAGGAAGCATGAGGATTGCAGATGTGGCCAGGGCAATAAATTGCAATGTCCGTACTGTGAGACGCCTAAGACAGCGCTACAGGGAGACAGGACGGACAGCTGATCGTCCTCGTAGTGGCAGACCACGTGTAACAACACCTGCACAGGATCGGTACATCCGAACATCACACCTGCGGGACAGGTACAGGATGGCAACAACAACTGCCCGAGTTACACCAGGAACGCACAATCCCTCCATTAGTGCTCAGACTGTCCGCAATAGGCTGAGAGAGGCTGGACTGAGGGCTTGTAGGCCTGTTGTAAGGCAGGTCCTCACCAGACATCACCGGCAACAACGTCGCCTATGGGCACAAACCCACCGTCGCTGGACCAGACAGGACTGGCAAAAAGTGCTCTTCACTGATGAGTCGCGGTTTTGTCTCACCAGGGGTGATGGTTGGATTCGCGTTTATCGTCGAAGGAATGAGCGTTACATCGAGGCCTGTACTCTGGAGCAGGATTGATTTGGAGGTGGAGGGTCCGTCATGGTCTGGGGCGGTGTGTCACAGCATCGGACTGAGCTTGTTGTCATTGCAGGCAATCTCAAAACTGTGCGTTACAGGGAAGACATCCTCCTCCCTTATGTGGTATCCTTCCTGCAGGCTCATCCTGACATGACCCTCCAGCATGACAATGCCACCAGCCATACTGCTCGTTCTGTGCGTGATTTCCTGCAAGAGAGGAATGTCAGTGTTCTGCCATGGCCAGTGAAGAGCCCGGATCTCAATCCCATTGAGCACATTTGGGACCTGTTGGATCGGAGGGTGAGGGCTAGGGCCATTCTCCCCAGAAATGTCCGGGAACTTGCAAGTGCCTTGGTGGAAGAGTGGGGTAACATCTCACAGCAAGAACTGGCAAATCTGGTGCAGTCCATGAGGAGGAGATGCACTGCAGTACTTAATGCAGCTGGTGGCCACACCAGATACTGACTGTTACTTTTGACCCCCCCCCCCCCCTTTGTTCAGGGACACATTATTCAATTTATGTTAGTCACATGTCTGTGGAACTTGTTCAGTTTATGTCTCAGTTGTTGAATCCTGTTATGTTCATACAAATATTTACACATGTTAAGTTTGCTGAAATAAACGCAGTTGACAGTGAGAGGACGTTTCGTTTTTTGCTGAGTTTATATACAATTTGTTTTGATAAAATATTTTAATTTGACTACTATAGCCCATAGAAGCGCACTGAAAAACACATTCATAAAATGGCAAAATATGCAGTAAAAAATAAATAAAAATCAGAGAATAAGGTTTTGAAGTGTCTTTCCTATATCTAGGAGATATAAGAAAGCTAAGGAAATATTGTTTAATGGACACAAAACGACCTCCATACTTCCATAATAAAAAATGGTACCGGTTACCTTCACACGAGTCCTGTGACACTTGTGGGGGGTCTTAAAGCAAAACGGAGAACATTGTGTTTGTGAGAAACTTCCCTTTCCATAGTGGGGTAATATTAGTTTGTAGCCCGAATGGTTCGGATGCTACAGACGTTTTCATGAGAAGACTGATTTTCTGGATGTCTCATGGTCTGACAAACACCGCTGTAGCTCGGCCACCTTCCACCGCAGATGTGGAAGGCCAACATAGGTGGATGCGGTGGATTGAGATGCAGCCCATGCAAAAAAACATATCTCTTGCTTAAACTGACAGATTTTGATGGGGATGTTTTTATTATGTTACTTAGATGGGTGCATCAATAGACTCTTAAGGATTACATTTAGGAGGGAAATCTTCAGTTAGCGTTCAACACCATAGTGCCCTCCAAGCTCATCACTAAGCTATGGACCCTGGGACTGAACACCTCCCTCTGCAACTGGATCCTGGACTTTCTGACGGGACACCCCCAA